AACAACCAGTTCACCTACTGTAACCGCTGAGAAAATTAACACCAGCTCTCCCGAAGTGATGCAAACTGAGTGACTCCCACCACTGATGCCAACCCTTGCTTGAAAATCTCCAGTGATGGAACTGCCATCTTCTAATTTGATAGATGGTAGATTTAGCCTCCAGGCCCCTCACCATCTTCATCTCTCTGCCAATGTTCCCTCTAATTTTTTTCTGTGTGTGCAAAAAGCATAGCGTTTGAGTGGCATATTTTCATGCCTGAGCGCCTGAATTTTTTTCACAGATGGTTCATAGAGCAGTTGATTTGTAGGATCCGAATTGGAATGGAAAAAAATGGCTTTGTGCATGTGTGTGTGTGTGTGTGTGTGTGTGTGTGTGTGTGTGTGTGTGTGATTGAGTGAGCGAGGGATCGGGTAAGGGAACTGTGCCTATTTAGAAAAGATAAATTATTGCAAACATGATCAAAGATAAGTATGGGGACAAGTTGGGCGAGAGAGAAAGTGATAAACTACTGTCTCCACCCCGGGTCTTTGCAGCACTGAGCCCCACAGCAGACTCTCCACTGCCAATTTCCACTCCAGTTCTCTTATCACTGTGTATCCTGCCACTAATCTGTACTTAAGTCCTTACCTTTGCCAGATTGCTCACCAAGCAGGGCAGCCTACCCGGCACTGACCCAGCTCGCTTTTCAGCACGATGGGGATCTTGTGAGACACCCATCACACCCTTCCCTCTGGGGTAAGCAGCAGCATCCAAAGCGGAGTAAAAGTTAAGAAAATAGAAAGCGAGTGAAACCAGGCCCAGAATATATGTGACAACAGAAGAGAAAGATAGCAAAATCTGGTGTACAACAACACTACAGGTCTCCTCCTCCACTTCTCCAGGATTCCTAAAAAGGTCATCCATAAAGAAGGCAGTAAGTCCCCTCCCCAAATCCCAAAGGGCATCTCTGTTCACATGGGCCGCAAACAAAGCAATCAACTTTGGTTTAATCTGATGCTGCACCCAGGTGCCCTGGTGGTGGCCCTCCAAACCGTCTTCCCCACTCAAGAACAATGTGCCAACTGCATCTCTTTAACTGAGCATCTTTCCCGAATTCCCAACCAGTGTCATTAAGGGACATAAAAAGAGAGTGGGGTACAACAATGCCCAGAAAGGAGGAATGGCATCACTGGGGATTCAAACCAAGCAGCAAAGTGGGGCTTTGGGCTGCTACAAGGATCCAAGGGCGAAACGATGGTCCCCGTGGGATCCATCTGCCTGTCGCCCTCTATTCCATTAGATGAAAGCAATGCGTTCCAACCAATTTTTTTGATGAATGGCTTCAAAGGCCAGGTTGTCAATTTGGACTCTGTGACTGTGGAAACCCACAGCTGGCAGCCACTAAAACCAAACTGGGAAACAGGTCATCAAGGCAGGCTACAACAACTGTCGTCTTATCCAGGTTCAGTTTAAAACTGTGTGAAAGAAACACCCGCACCACAGCTCCCAGGCGACGGACAGAACACGTTAGAGAATAGATGTTGCTTCTGAATTGGGAGCGATTGTTTTAAAGCAATTAAAGCAAAACAGGCTCCCTTTCGCAGTGGGACCCACTGAACCACAAACATCCTGTGGGACAACATGCGGTTAATGTGGAACTCTTTGGCAGCTCTAAGGGCATCCCTGCTGGCAATGGGTGACTTGGCTTGGCCTTTAACCAGCCACAGGAGCCCTGCACAATCTCTGGAGCATCCTACACGATGCCTGACTGAAATGGGCCCACAAGATTATTGGCAGACGGAGCTGAGAAAGAGCTGTTAACTTCAAGAGCCGGATAAAAGAGGGAGGAGACAGCTGAAGGATTCAGGGAAAACTTTCCCCCCAGAGATGTGCATGTCATAAGGTGGTCCTTAAAGTTTTAGTTAAAGTGACTTAAATGTCAGTCCTGCATTGAAGAATTCAGATTAATTACAGTAACCTTGGTCAGCTACGAAGGATGGCTTAACATGAAAGCAGGCTATCCTCCATCCCATTCCAGCAACTGGTAATCTCTATTAGCCGATATTATTGTACTCTATGAGGAGTCCTCAACTTACAACTGCAATTGGAACCAAAACAAATCCTGTTGAGAATACATCGAGAAGAACACATACTGTCAGAACCACCAGCTTCGGCTCGCGCCTCCCTGGTGTTCCGTGATCAGTGGGGGAAGGGAGCAAAGGGGAACAAACGGTCAAGTTCCTGTATACTTTAATGATGGGAAATTAGAAATCTTGCCTTTTTGGAGGGCCTGGTGGGACAATCTGGATTATAAACTATCATTTTAACAATTTCCCTCCCCCCTTTTTTTCGCCGTTATTTTCTGTGATAACTTCCACCACAATTTTGGATAGTCTCTCTTTTTTTCAATATAAATCACCAGTAGATGCATTTCTTCATGTTTGATGGGCCATTTGGATTATAAATGGTTACCTTGCAAATGTCTGTTGCAGGGATATGTATGGATCAGGGCAGTGACAGCTAACCATTTTGCCATCGCATGCCAAAAGCAGGGGGAGTGTGGGGGTCATGTGCGCGGTTGCCCACACCCATTTTTCACCCTCCCCAGGCTCCAGAGGCTTTCTAGGAGCCTCTGGAGAGGTGGGGATGATGTCACGATGATACAACATGCAATCTTGGAGCTCCAGGATTGCCATCGATATCTCTGCCGCTGCTATTTAGGTCCTTTTGGACCTAAACCGTCCCGTAGAGGCGGTGATAGAGAAGTACACATCCTGCCGATCCTGGGAACATTGCAAAGTCCCTGGCAGATCCAGGAGAAGCTCTTTTTTCCGGCCACAGAGAAGCAGCCATTGAAGCTGCTGAAAGTTGGGACAGCTCCAGAACGGAGGGAACATTAGATTTACGTTTCAAGGTCTCTGAGCTTGTTTATTGAAAATGATAGCAGGATGAGCATGGATTGCTTATACAGGTGCTCCTCTAGGGTACTATCAGTAGCTGGACTGTAGTGAAAAGAAAGCCTTGACTTGAAAGAGAGAAGAATTGCAGTGAACTTGTTTGGAACTTAATAAAAAAAGTCTTGGATTCTATATATTGGCAGTATATATTATCTAGAGGAATGTCGCAGCACGAAAAAGAAAAAA